GCCATTACCGAGGCAATCTGCCATTACTGAGGCAGTCCACCATTACTGAGGCAAACTGCAGTTACTCAGGCAGTTCTAACTATACCACTATAAACAAAACTGCAAGGAAGTTCACACAGCAGCTGGACAGAGCCCACAGCAGCTCAGCAACGCCTCTGCTGGCAGACTGTGTCTTGGCTACCTCCTTGCTGGGCAGGGCAGCTCTGAAAAAAGGCAGCACCATGTCAGGAACTTATAAATAAAGCCCCACCTTCCTAGGACAGAGCACATGGGAAAAAAAGCGGTTTTGAGTTCCACTGCAGCAGACTTAAACATACCTGCCCAACAGCTCTGAACAGACCACAGTGCAATCAAATTAGGACTCGGGATTAAGAAACTAACTCAGAACCGCACAGCTTCATAGAAATTGAACAACTGGCTCCTGAATATCGACTGGATAAACAATGAAATGAAGGCAGAAATGAAGATGTTCTTCAAAACCAATGAGAACAAAGACACAACATACCAGAATCTCTAGGACACATTTAAAGCAGTAGCTAGAGGAAAATTTATAGCAATAAATGCCGACATGAGAAGCAGGGAAAGATCTAAAATCAACACCCTATCATCAAAATTGAAAGAGCTAGAGAAGCAAGATAAAAAAAATACAAAGTCTAGCAGAAGACAAGAAATAACTGAGATCAGAGCAGAACTGAAGGAGACAGAGACACAAAAAACACTTCAAAAAATCAATAAATCCAGTAGCTGGTTTTTTTTTTTAAAAGATCAACAAAATAGACCACTAGCCAGATTAATAAAAAAGAAAAGAGAGAAGAATCAAATAGATGCAACAAAAAACAATAAAGGGGATATCACCACTGATTCCGCAGAAATACAAATCATCATCAGAGATTACTACAAACAACTCTATGCACATAAATCAGTAAACCTGTAAGAAATGGATAAATTCCTGGACACTTGCACCCTCCCAAGCCTAAACCAGGAAGAAGTCGAAACCCTGAATAGACCAATAACGAGGGCTAAAGTTGAGGCAGCAATTAATAGCCTACCAACCAAAAAAAGCCCAGGTCCAGGTGGGCTCACAGCCGAATTCTACCAGACATACAAAGAGGAGCTGGTACCACTCCTTCTGAAACTATATTCAAAAAGAGGGAATCATTCCCAAATCATTTTATGAGACCAACATCATCCTGATACCAAAACCTGGCAGAGACTCAACAAGAAAAGAAAACTTCAGGCCAATATCCATGATGAACATAGATGCAAAAATCTTCAATCAAATACCGGCAAACTGATTGCAACAACACATCGAAAAGCTTATCCATCAAGATGAAGGAGGCTTCATACCAGGGATGCAAGGCTGGTTTAACATATGCAAGTCTATAAACGTAATTCACCACATAAACAGAACCAAAGACAAAAACCACATGATTATCTCAATAGATGCAGAGAAAGTCTTCGACTAAATTCAACAGCCCTTTATGCTAAAAACTCTCAATAAACTAGGTGTTGATGGAATGTATCTCAAAATAATAAAAGCTATTTATGACAAACCCACAGCCAATATCATACTGAATGGGTAAAAACGGGAAGCATTCCCTTTGAAATCTGGCACTGGACAAGGATGCCCTCTCTCACCATTCCTATTCAATATAGTATTGGAAGTTCTAGCCAGAGCAATTAGGCAAGAAAAAGAAATAAAGGGTATTCGATTAGGAAAGGAGGAAGTCAAATTGTCTCTATTTGCAGGCGACATGATTGTATATTTAGAAGACCCCATCATCTCAGCCCAAAATCTCCTGAAACTGATAAGCAACTTCAGCAAAGTCTCAGGATACAAAATCAATGTGCAAAAATCACAAGCATTACCAATAACAGACTTAAAGAGAGCCAAATCAAGAACAAACTGCCATTCACAATTGCTACAAAGACAATAAAATACCTAAGAATACAACTAACAAAGAATGTAAAGGACCTCTTCAAGGAGAACTACAAACCACTGCTCAAGGAAATAAGAGAGGACACAAACAGATGGAAAAACATTCCATGCCCATGGTTAAGAAGAATCAATATCATGAAAATGGCCATACTGCCTAAAGTAATTTATAGATTCAATGCTATCCCCATCAAGCTACCATCGTCCTCCTTCACAGAACTGGAAAAAACCACTTTAAACTTCATATGGAACCAAAAGAGAGCCCACATAGCCGAGACAATTCTTAGCAAAAAGAATGAAGCTGGAGGCATCATTCTACCTGACTTCAAACTATCCTACCAGGCTACAGTAATCAAAACATCATGGTACTGGTACCAAAACAGAGATATAGACTGATGGAACAGAACAGAGGCCTTGGAGGAGATGCCACACATCTACAACCATCTAATCTTTGACAGACCTCACAAAAACAAGCAATGGGGAAAGGATTTCCTGTTTAATGACTGGTGTTGGGAAAACTGGCTAGCCATGTGCAGAAAGCAGAAACTGGAGCCCTTCCTGACACCTTGCACCAAAATTAACTCCAGATGGATTAGACTTCAACATAAGGCCTGACATCATCAAAACCCTAGAAGAAAACCTAGGCAAAACCATCGAGGACATAGGCATAGGCAAGGACTTCATGACTAAAACACCAAAAGCACTGGCAACAAAAGCCAAAATAGACAAATGGGATCTAATTAAACTCAAGAGCTTCTGGACAGCAAAAGAATCAATCACTAGAGTAAACCAGCAACCAACAGAATGGGAAAAAAATTGTTATCTACCATCTGACAAAGGACTAATATCCAGAATCTACAAAGAACTAAAACAGATTTACAAGAAAAAAACAAACAAACCCATTCAAAAGTGGGTGAAGGACATGGACACCTTTTAAAAGAATACATTTATGAGGCCAAGAAACATATGACAAAATACTTATCATCACTGGTCATTAGAGAAATGCAAATCAAAACCACATTGAGATACAGTCTCATGACAGTTAGAATGGTGATCATTAAAAAATCTGGAGACAACAGGTGCTGGAGAGGATGTGGAGAAATAGGAATATTTTTACACTGTTGGTGGGAGTGTAAATTAATTCAACCGTTGTGGAAGACAGTGTGGCGATTCCTCAAGGATCTAGAAATAGAAATTCAATTTGACCTAGCAATCTGATTACTGGGTATATACCCAAAGGATTATAAATCATTCTATTATAAAGACACATGCACATGTATGTGAATTATGGCACTGTTTACAACAGCAAAGACCTGGAACCAACCCAAATGCCCATCGATGATAGACTGGACAGGGAAAACGTGGCACATATACACCATGGAACACTATGCAGCCATTAAAAATGATGAGTTTGCATCCTTTATAGGGACATGGATGAACCCGGAAACCATCATTCGCAGCAAACTGACACAAGAACAGAAAAACAATGCATGTTCTCACTCATAGGCGGGTGTTGAACAATGAGAACACATGGGCATAGGGAGGAGAACATCACACACTGGGGTCTGTTGTGGGGGAATAGGGGAGGGACAGTGGGGGGTAGGAAGGTTGGGGAGGGATAACATGGGGAGAAATGCCAGATATAGGTGACGGGGGGATGGAGGCAGCAAACCACGTTGCCATGTATGTACCTATGCAACAATCCTGCATGTTTTGCACATGTATCCCAGAACCTAAAGTGCAATATAATAATAAGAAGAAAAAAGTATCTACAACACAAAAAATAAATAAATAAAAATGCATGCCTAAAGGCAGGCCTGGAGCTTCCTACTAACCAATGCAAAGAATGTAACACACTATTTACGTGATTCCTAAGATTTTATTTTGGCCTTATTTTTCAGAAAAAAAAAAGAAAGCCCAATTGTCCCTAGTACTACAGGCTGAGAAAAATTTTTACCATGGATCCTCAACACAGGACTACAGGCTGAGAAAAATTTCTCACATGGATCCTCAACTATGTTACCTACTATAATGGCTAATGTTTAGTGGAAACTGTTCAAACACTTTGCCTACCTTGTTGCTTCCCTTCCCAAAGAATGGCTCTTCTGAGATGAGGAAACTAAGACTCAGAGAAGTTCAGTAACGTGACCAGGTCACACAGCTAGTGAGTGGTGGTGCTGGGGCTTATTGAGTCTGTTGGTCACCTAAGTCCCTGCTGTTGACCATTTTTTTATGAACAATAATCCTGGAATAGAGTAAGTTTCACAGGCAATTTCTTATAATGAGCTCAACGGCCAGTGATAAAAAGGTGTGTCAACAAAGGAGCAGGTTACCTTCAAGCTGGAAGCCTAAACCATTACTTGTAACACAACTTACATTTCTTATATTAAATTTTTATTTTGTACTTCCCACTAGTAAATTACTAGGAATCAAAAAATATGGATGTTCTTTTTCAAGCTACAAATGTGTCTCCAGCAAATATAACAGAAACAGAAAAACAAAATATGGAAAAAAAAATATGGAATTTCAAAATTCCATATTTTCCCTCTTATACAGATCACAGCTTTCACACAGACAATGAAGGGTTTTCTCACTGCCTAGAAGAATTAAAGCACAGCGGCCGGGTGTGGTGGCTCACGCCTGTAATCCGAGCACTTTGGAGGCCAAGGCGGGTGGATCACCTGAGGTCGGGAGTTCAAGACCAGCCTGATCAACATAGTGAAACCCCATTTATAAAAAAAGAAAAAAAGAATTAAAGTACAATTGTCCATTATAGAAGCTTCTTTTAAGATAGACTGCCATCTTTTGTCAAATGTTTCAGCTCTGTGGAAGATAACTTACTTTTTTTCTTACTTGCAAAAGAAACGTTTCCACTTGATACCTGTTGGAAATACGAAATAGACTATATAGTTCCATCAAAGAAAAGCTTATTATTTATTCGCATAGTATTTTTCTTTTGTGTCAAGTTGAACAGTGGTATTAAGTGAATGCCCACAAAGCATCTTAAAGGCTGAGGAAGGATTACACTAACGGCTAAGCTCTGAGACAGGTTTATGTACCTTGTAGGGCACTTTCCTTGGGCTTAACATCTTTTAGCCTATCAGTAGAGGATATCAGAGGGCAAAGTTTCTGTCATGAAATAGGACTAATCAACTTAGTTGAATTCGTATTTAAGGCAAGGTTAAACTGAATTAAGACCATTTTCTCGAAAGGGTTGTCAGATGTATTTTTCAACCTGCAGCCAGAGAAGATTCCGCAGTTGAAGGACAGAAAGTCTTTGTGTGGTTCTTCCATCAGCAATACCAAAGACAAGAAGTCTTCATAGAGGATGTAAGTACATAGCTACACATTGATTAGGCCAAAACTGAGGCTAGTTACTGTAAGCAAAATCCTGTACATATAAAATAGAAGGACATCTTTATCTTGAAGGAAATGCTTAAGTTTATCTGTAAACTTTATTGGCTCTATTACTAACAGCATGTGAGCTAATAAATTCCTACTTGACTGAAGTTACTAACAAGTAAAGACGATGTACCATTCCTGCCAAATAAACACTGCCTGATCTCAGTTTTTGGAGTTTTTAAGTGAAAATAAAATGACATTTATTTAAGATAAAGCCAGTTCAAAGTTGTATGTAAATTTCCTGTTGTTTTATTATCTTCAAATAGATTCAGTACCTACCTCTATGTGTTACATCTGTATGTTTACTACACAGTATTATTTTAATGGCTTCCCATTACTGCAAATATCTATATTCCAAAAATTGTCATGATGTGTGAACCATGAAATGTCAGAGTAGAAAATTTCAGAAAAACATTGAGGAACAATCAATGATAATCATGAAATAAAATCTATATTGATATTTCTTTTTTTTTTTTTTTTGAGATGGAGTTTCGCTCTTGTTACCCAGGCTGGAGTGCAATGGCACGATCTCGGCTCACCGCAACCTCCGCCTCCTGGGTTCAGGCAATTCTCCTGCCTCAGCCTCCTGAGTAGGCACGCGCTACCATGCCCAGCTAATTTTTTGTATTTTTAGTAGAGACGGGGTTTCACCATGTTGACCAGGATGGTCTCGATCTCTTGACCCCGTGATCCACCCGCCTCGGCCTCCCAAAGTGCTGGGATTACAGGCTTGAGCCACCGCGCCCGGCCTATATTGATATTTCTTAATTCATTCTTTAAGACTTTCTAACTAAAATACCTAATATTCAGTTCCATTATATGAATATGGCTAGAATTTCACTTTAATCTCTATAGATTTATATGTAATGGACTTTGCTTCACAATCTTTTGAAGAAAGTGAACGTAATTTATACAAACTGTAATAGCACATAAATTATATTGAATCCAGTAGAAAGTACATAATTTCGATTTATTTTAATGATGACAAAGGTTTACCTTTTTTGTTAGGATATTTGTAATTGTGCCTAGCACCTGACATTTCAAGACGGCATGGATGGATCTAATGAAAATGAGCTTCCAGAGTAAAAAGAAATAAGAAGTGAGAGCAGCCAGCACATAACTCACTGTCTTCAATAACGATTTCCAGGGTAAGTGCTATGGTGAAATGCAGTTAGAAAAGTACTACAAGCATATGCCTTTAGTGAAAGTGAAATACATTTTAGCGGCACTGCCAAGTGCTTCAGGATTAACTGTCTTTGTTGGTAGTAGCACACACGATTACAGTGATAACTCCTTTTTATTTATATTGTGCTAGTTTAACAGAGAAAATTCCTACTGTTATTTAAAACTAAAACTAAAATTAAATCTAGTTTCCTTCTAAAGTGGGGTGAGAGTGGCATAATTCAAACCAGTAGAAAAGAGATCTCTAAAGTTCTCCTCTGTCCTCGGCAGAGATGGGTAGGGGAGCAAAATATGGAGAGATCCAGAAGAAGGCCTATTTGGGTTTTGCTCAGAGCAGAATTGGAGGAGATGGTCTACAAAGACCTCTGCAGAGCAAAAATAGGAGGAATGACTTTGGAATTGTTGGGATACTGCCTAAGAGAAAGTCAAGAAAACTCACAAGAAGCCAGGCCTGAATTGTAAAAATGACTCTCAATTTACTTTAAAATTTTACATTTATTTATCTCAGAACTGTGGAAACATTTAATTCTACTGCTCTACTTTTCAAATATAAAAACTTACCAGGTATAGCAGTTATTTAAAAACTAACTCATTTTAATGTATGTAATCAGAAAACATGCATCATACATACCATAAATATTCTACATATAATTGCTCAAATCCAGGATTTTCTAAACTCAAATTGCACTGATTTTAATGAATGGTCGTAGTATAGCCAATAATAGACAAATATATAAAATTGGCAGCTGGCTACTGGGCACTGGGAAATCATTCAGTGAATATCTGCTGATTTGGCAAGGGCTTTAGTTCATGAAGTTCACGTCTTACTACTACTGCCCTAATCAGTTGAGACAGAATTAGCACTAGCTAAATCATCTATGTGCTGCCTGGAGGGGTTTGTTGAGGTTAAGAGTCTGAAGACAGAGATTAAGGAGTCCTCATCCTCCTAATGTGCTGGGCATCCAGGATTAGAGCTCTGGGTCAGGGAAATCCAGCCTGAATGCAGACCTAAGCACCACTGCACTCCCTCATTTTGGGATTACCAGACACGCTCTGCACTTAAAATTTATATTCCAGTCTGCACTTTTACTCAGCCATTTCATCTGCTACAGCAAAGTGACCTTAGTTCACAATTTGTCTACATGTATCTAAAATAGAAGGGGATGCCCTCAAAATATGAAAGTATGCATTTAAAGACTCATGCTTGATCATATGACTCAGCACCCCCAAAACAATGGTTTCAAGGGAACACAGATTTGGTGTTTCAAGTGTCTACTTGGCTAATGAAGGGAAAGATCAGATCAACCTCAGAACATTGCTTGAAAGTATTCTGATTTTATTTCCTTCAAAATATAATTTGGCTTAGGGCAGTGAAACTATTCTATTCTATACTGTACTATACTATACTATATATACTATACTATACTATATATACTATACTATACTATACTATA